GTAATCGCCACCGTAAAGAAGGTGCAGAACGCTTCCATTATACCAAAAACGTTTCCTTGTTTTGTCATTTTGTAATCACAGCCACCTCTGCCCCATCTTCCGCAAGCACTGGTCCGTTCCCGGCCTCTACTTTTGCCTTTTCCGGAATGTCTCATAAATGGGCTCACTTAATATGTAACTTTATTAGTTGGGCTTTCTATACTTAACATGATGCATTTGAGAGTCATTCTATTTTATTATTTCATTTACTATTTTATCATTTCTTTTTGGTTTGTCTCCCCTCTGCCGTTTTTTGTTCTTCTGGTTGCCTTTTCTTGATTCCTGAAATTACAGGTTTTCCTCCAGCCTATAGAACTTTATTTAGCATCCTTTTAGTTGATGTCTGTTGATGACAAATCCTTTCGATTTTTAATCATTGAGGATATATTTATTTAATATTAGTTTCTGAAGATGTTTTCACTCGATATGGAATTCTGGGTTGATGGTTATTTTCTTTTAGTAGCTAAAGACGTGTGCCACTGTCTTCTAGCCTCCATCGTTTCTGGTGAGAAATCCAGCGTGATTCCAATTGTTCCTTTATGTGTAATGTGTTGCTTCCTCTGGCTGGTTTCAAGACATTTGCTTGATCTTTGCTTTTGAGCAATTGGATTAGATGAGTGTGAGTATGGTTTTCTTCGTACTGCATTTTGGTGAGCTTCTTGAATCTTTAAATTTAGGTCCTCCACAAATTTGGGAAATTTACTGCTATTATTTCTTCAAAATCTTTTTTCTTCACCAAACTTTTCCTCCCCTCCTCTGAGACTCCGATGACCCAATGTAAGAGCGTTCGACATTGTTTGGTGCTGGTTCGTCTTTCTCTGTGTTCTCCTCTGTCCTTCAGCTGGTGCCATTTCTATTCATCTGTGTTCAGCTTCACTGATTCTTTCCTTTGTCATCTTCATTCTGCCATTGAGCCTACCCAAGATATTTTCATTGAAGATATTATTTATTTTAGTTTAAAAAATTGCATTTGGTTCTTTTTTATAGCTTCTATTTCTCAGCTAAAATTTTCTATCTTTCCATTTGTTCACAGTGTTCATTTTTACCTCATAAAGTATAGTTACAATAGCTGTTTTGAGGATTTTGTCTGATGATGCCAACATCTGGGTCGTCTCAGGGCTGCGGCCCTTGATGTCTTTTCCCTAGAGAGTTGGACACCTTTTCCTGGATCTTCATATGTCACTTAAGTTTGAATTGAATCCTGGACATTTTGAATATTATGTTGTGAGACTCTAGTTTCTGTTAAAATCTCCTGGATAGACTTAAGAAGAAATATAAAATCTGAACAGATGTATAACAAATAAAGATTGGATTGGTAATTGAAAATGTCCCAAGAAAGAAAAGTCCAGGACCAGATGGCTTCACAGGTGACTTCTATTAAACATTCAAAGAAGAATTAACACCAATTTTTCTCAAACTCTTTCAAAAAATAGAAGAGAACACTTCCTAACTCATTCTGTGAGGCCAGCATTAGGCTGATGTCAAGCCAAACAGAAACACCACAAGAAAAGTAAACTGTGGACCAATATCCTTTGTAAATGTAGACGAGCTTTGACTCCTCAACAAAATACTAGCAAACCGAATTCAACAGCATGTTAAGAGGATTACACATCATGACCAAATGAGATTTATCCTAAGAAATCAAGGCTGACTCAGCGTGTGAAAAGTCAGTCAATATAATATATCGCGTTAATAAAAGGAAGGGAAAAAACCCACATGATCATCCTAGTTGATGGAGAAAAAGTATTTGACAAAATCCAATACCCTTTCATGTTTCAAAGTTTCAAAAACATTCAACAAACTAAGAATAGAAGGAAACGTCATTGACAGAATAAAAGACTTTATGAAAAACTCACAGCTAGTATCATACTCAATGATAAAGAATAAAAGTTTTTCCCCTAAGATCAAGACAAGGATGCCTACTTTTACTAGTGCTATTCGATAGTGTATCGGAAGTTCTAGCCAGAGAAATTAGGCAAAAAGAAAAAGAAAAAGAAAATGAAAGAAAGAATAAAAGACATCCAAATGGGAAACAAATAAATAAAATAATCTCTATTTGCTGATGACATGATCTTATACATAGACACTCCTAGAGGGTACGCATACACACACGTAACTACTCAAGCTAATAAATACACTCAGCAGAGTTGTAGGGTACAAGGTCAACACACAAAAATCACCAGCAGTGAATGATGCAAAAAAATTAAGAAAACAATTACATTATAATAGCATTTAAAAGAATAAAATACTTAGAAATAAATTTAACCAAAGAAGTGTAGGAATTGTGCATTGAAAGCTATACAACACGGCTGAAACAATTTAAAGATCTAAAAATGGTAAAACATTCCATGTTCGTAAATTGGAAGACTTAGTGCCGTTAAGATGGCAAGACTGCCCTGAGCAATCCACGGATTCAACACGATCCCTGTCAAAACTCCAACAGCCTTTTGAAGAAATAGAAAAGCCAATCCTCAATTCATATGGAATCGCAAGGGGCCCTGAACAGCCAAAACAATATAAAAAAAAACAAGATCAAGATTGGAGGACTTATACTTCCAAATTTGAAAACTTACTACAAGGCTACAGTAATCAAAACAGTGTGGTGTTCGTGTAATGACAGACGTATAGATCAATGGAAGAGAAATAAGTGTCCAGAAATACACTCACGCATCACTGGCCAACTGATTTTGACCAGTGTACCAAGACCATTCAGTGGGGGAAGGAATAGTCCCCTCAACCAATGGCGCTGGGACAACTGGACGTCCACATGCAAAAGAGTGAAATTGGACCCCTGCCTCATACCACTTACACAGTTTAATTCCAAATGGAGTGAGTATTTAAATGTAAGAACTAAAACTATAAAACTCTTCGAAGAAAACAGGGGCCAATCTTTATGACCTTGGATTTGGCAATGGTTTCCTAGATAGGACAACAAAGGCATAAGGTAAAAAAGAAAAAAATAGATAAATTGGACTTGACCAAAATTAAAAACTTTTGAGCATTAAAGGACATTATCAAGAAAGTGAAAAGAGAAAATATTTGCAAACTTTATATCTAATAAGAGTCTAGTATTCAGAACATATCAAGAACTCTTCCAACTCGACAACAAAAAGTCAAAAGGCCCCTTTAACAGTTGGGCCAAGGACTTGGATAGGCATTTCTCCAAACAAGATATGCAGATGGCCAAGAAGTACATCCAATGATAGCCACCATCATTAGTCATGAGGGAAATGCAGACCAAAACCACAATGAGATATTACTTCACACTCGCTAGGGTGGCTGGGATAAAAACAACAGACGATAACAAATGTTGTCAAGTTTGTAGTGAAACTGAAACCTTCGCACATTGCTGGTAGGAATGAGAAATGGTTCAGCCACTTTGAAAAACAGTTTGATGATTCCTCAAAAAGTAAATATAAAATTACCATATGACCCAGCATTTCCATTCCTGGGTATATACCCAAAAGAATTGAAAGCAGATATTCAAACAAAAACTTGTATACAAATGTTCATAGCAGCGCTATTCACAATAGTCAAAACGTGGAAACCATCCAAATTTCCATCAACAGATGAATGGATAAACAATATATGGTATATCCATACAATGGAATATATTCAGTGGAATGTTATTACAAAAAAAGAAAATACTGATAACATGCTACAACACGGATTAATCTCAAAAACTTGCTAAGTGAAAGAAGCTAGACACCAAAGGTCACATTCCATTTATGTGAAATATCCAGATGGGTAAATCTATGGAGACAGAAAGCAAACTCGTGGTTGCCAGGGGCTGGGGAGAGGGGAGGAATGGAAGAAACTGCTTCATGTGTGTGGGGTTTCCTTTTGTGGTGATGAAAATGTTTTGTAACTAGATAGACATGATGGTTGCACAACGCTGTAAATGTACCAAATGCCACTGAATTGTATACTTTAAAATGGTTAATTTTATTTTATATGAATTTTATCTCAAAAACATAAACTTCATAACCTGAATCTAATCATGAAACAAACATCAGACACATTGCCCTTGAGGGGCATTCTACAAACTACCTGATCAATAAGCCTCGGATCTGCCCAGGCCATCACAAGCAGGAAACGGACCTGAGAAACAGTCCCAGGCGAGAGGAGCTGAGGAGAGATGGTGACGGAATGTGAGGTGGCGGCCTGGGAAAAAGTTGAGTGGAAACCAGGGAAATCTGAGTAAACTATGAACTTTAGTTAATAATAATGTATCAATATTGGAAATGTACCACACTAATGCAGCATGTTAATAATAGAGGAAACTGGGTGCTGGCTTTAGAACCTAAAATTGTTCTAAAGAATAAAGTCCGCTAGAAATTCCTCTGGATAATGTTAGTCTTTTCGTTTTGGTGGGGAAGGAACTGGTCAGGGTCAGCCTGAAGTCCGGCCGCACCTTTGTGGCGGCGTTTCCGGTGTCAGCTCAGACTGCAAAGCCCTTCCGCGCTCTGCGACAGCCGGGCAAGCACCACTCAGGGCTTAGTCTGGAAGCTCTAGGGCTGTTTTCGATTGCAGTTCAGTTTTCAAAACCTTTGTTAAATGCTCTTTGGGTCTCTTGCTCGTGTGGGCAACTCAGGGGTGCGCCTAGGACCTTATGGGTTCATTCACATGACAAGGGGCTGCCTGCCTCCAGCTGGCTCCTCACCAGGATTCTCCCACCATCTCTGTCTACCAGGCTCCCCTCTTCCTGGTTCCTCCGGCCAGGCAGGCAGGGTTTTTCTCAGGTTTAGGTGCCCGTGCTGCAGTGACAGAAGCAGTGTGGCTTTGCAACTGAGGCTGGCTTTGGGGCCAACACAGAAAAATAAGAAAAAAGGAAAGGCACAAAGGCTGGCTCCTCCCACGCTCTCAGGCTCCTGGTCCTTTGGCTAGGAAGAGTACGTCACGTGGAGTTTTTGCTGTTTGCTCTCTGTGTTCTGCCTTTGGCCCACCATTTAGGTAAAAGCCAGGAGACGAAGGAAGGAAATGAGCAAACTCACTACTGTGTTGCTCCTTCTTCAAGTTTTGACTTCCTTCCGCAAATCCCCTGCTCTTGTTTACTTTTCAGAGTCCTCGGGTATTTTGTATTCTGTCCAGAGTCTTTAGCCGTAATTAATGGGACGAATAAGCTAAAGTGGGCTCACTCCATCTTTGCTGGCATCTGAAGCTTGGGATTTGTTTTGAATCAGCCTTCAACCCAGCCACACTACCCAGTACCTGCTGGTTCCCCGGCTCCTTCCTCTCCTCTTTACCTTCCACTGTGATGAAGCGGCCCATTGACTTCTAGGCACTTGACTTATCTGCTTAGTGTCTTGGCCTTCGCTGGCATTCTCCCTCCTGTGGGACAGCTCTTCAAACTCCCTCTCCAGGTAACACATCTCTCTTGGTTTGTCCCTAGGACCCCCGATGCCTGTGAACAAGTGCTGCCCTGCTTTGCTCTGCGGACACCACTTTCTTCTGGTCCTGGCCAGGACTAGCTGAACTTCACTTTTCTGGACCTTTTGTTATGTTCCAGGAGAGCCCATCGTGAGTCAGACTTAGTGGCCATAAAAGACGAGACAGGACAGGGTGAGGGCTAAGGGAACGAACCCGGACATCGAGGTGGCTCAAAGTGCACTGGAGGTAGGAGACCAACAGCAAAATCTCAACTTCTGAGTGGCACAGAGGACAGAGCCTTCACGGGTACAGGCGTGGTTGTTCAAGGGCTCTCTCTTGGTGGCTTTCCCATCGTGTGTAGTCTCGCTGGGAAAGGGCAGATAGATGATCTAGGATCAGCCTACAAGTGATTCCATGTTAATGCCCTCAGTGGTGGCAAAATTCATCCTTTGAAGGAATTTTTTGAAATAGTCCAAAGTCATCTGGAAAGAGCCATTTCTGGTCAATGAGATGAGTTATCAAGTTGGTGGTGCCATTAATGACCCCAAATGGGGTGGGAATATAAAAGACAATGGACTTGGGCAGCCTGTAAGTTATCTCAGATGACAGTTTAAAGAAGACTCAAATATACTGGGGGAAATGGCAGCATTGCCTCACGCTGTAACCACTTTGAATGGATAGGACTCATTCAGATGGTTAGGTCCCCTCCTGTGTAACTTCTGATCTAAAACCAGTCCATTAACTTCTAGACGCTTGATTTACCTGCTTAGTTTCCTGGACTTTGCTAGAATTCTCCCTTCTGTTGTGGCTTCTCTTCAAACTGATTACCCAGGGTATCAAGAGCTTCAGTTAGGAAATGGGTTTGGCTCCAAGTAACAAAGCTCTGAAAAACAAAGGCTTAAGCCACTAAGGCTTTATTATTCTTTATTTCACTGAACACCCTTAGCTGCAAGGGATATTGGGGAATGTGTTTTTCAGCTGTATCCCCATTGTCACCCGTCCCCAAACAGAGATTATTTTTGGTAAGAGAGAAAGGGATCTTGGGTTGGCAAACTGTTGGAATCTCTGTCACATCTGACAGACAGAAGTTGAATCTAAGTCCTTGCATCCGCTGGAATCACAGGGGGAAATACTGATTCATGCTTTGCGAGATAATGGAATGTGAGGACATTCCTACTGGTTTACTAATGGCTCTTCCTTGGTCCTTGGTTACCATTGGACATGGTGCCAATCCAAGTTGGACCCAAGATTTTGTTGGCCTTGACCACTGGTAAAAATGAGAAATTCAGCTCCATCGGCCCAGGTCATTAAAATTCATTTGAGTTCACGTTTTGAGAACTTAGACCACTACCTAATTTTCAAAGGTCCTCCTGAGGATGACTGTGTTACCGTACAAAGTCTCTGCCCAATGAGCATGAACAGCCGATTAATTATGGCATCAGCCTTTGGGAAAAGAGATCAGCTTTATTCTGCAGGATCGATCTGCAGGGGGCGAGGGGGCCTGTGCCCTCAGATCTGTCTCCCTGATCCAGGATTTGGGGAGAAATTTAAGAGGTTAGGGAGAGCAAGCTGCACGTGGAGATGCTGTGGGACAGGTTTTGATTGGTGGGCTTGAGGCATTTGTGGTAACCTGATGGGGTTCTAAACATTTTTGATGAGGTGGGGAAGCAATTTTCACACCGGATCTTCCTGAATGAGGAGCCCCTCACTTCTGATGAGACTCTCCCTTTCAAGTTCTGATCCTGTCCCCATCCTTGGGTTCCATAGGAAGGAGGATCTTTGGTTCTGAGGTTGTTTCAGGTCACGGTTTCTTCTGTTGCACATGCCCTGGCTCCATGACTTTGCAGATTTTCTGAAAGTCAATTCATAATCACTGTTGATGAGAGATGGGGTCAGTTGAACTGGTCCTGGAGGGCCCGTGGTTACAGTCGAAAGGAAGGTCCGTTTCGTGAACTGCTGAGTGTTCAGAATGGATTGTCTATACCTCCTTCTCCTTTACCTCCCAGATACTTCTCAGGGCTAACTCAGCCAGCCAGCCAGCCAGCCAGCCACCCACTTGCCATTTACTGAGTACCTATTGTGAATAAGGCCTGGTGCTGGGCACTAAGACCTCACAGATAAGTAAGAGAGGCATGGTCTTTATTTCTGAGGACCTCAAAGTCCATGAGCAGAAAATAACTTTGTCTGACCACAGGGGGTCAACGGGCAAGTGTGTTTGTGTGCAGATATCTTTACCTCGTTCTTGTGTAACTCGGGGCTGTGATGTGACTTGATTCATATCCATTCCTCTACTCCCTTCTGTTTTTTCATTTCAGTAAAAATAAGAGACAAAACTAAGCCTTTCTCTGCCATATAAAAACTTTAAATCTTAAAATTCAACCTGAGGCCAGTGCTTTCTCACTGTGCTGAGAATGACCAGATGGAAAGAAAATGGCCGGTCTTAAAATCCTTTCCTGTTTTGGACCAGGTTTGGATTTTATTTTTGCTTCACATTTTCCTTTTGTTCTTTTCCCAGTTTCCCTGTTGTTTTCTCAGGAAGGAGAATCCTCCCTCCCTTTTCGGCCCAGCACAGTGGAATTTATTCCCACACATCCCAAGCAGATTGACAGAGCATCCTGCAGGGACCTCATGGGGCTCACTTAATGCCCCAGAGGTGAGACAGTGCTGTGAGCTGGACAGGGGGCAGCCTGCAGTGGTTTCTGTTGATGTACAGCTGCTTTGTTTAAAGAGAGGAACATACCTCTCTGGTTTCTTTTTTTTTTTCTTCTTGTTTTTCTTATCTTTTATGAGTTTAAAAGCTCATTCTAGACCCAAATGGGAAGAATTTGTTGTTTTGGGGTTTTTTTGGTGACGAAGATTGTCCCTGAGCTAACATCTGTATCAATCTTCCTCTACTTTATGTGGGATGCCACCACAGCGTGGCTTGATGAGCGGTGTATAGATTTGTTCCTGGGATCCAAACCTGCAAATCCCGGGCCACTGAAGCAGAGCACGCAAACCCAACCACTATGCCACTGGGCCAGCCCCGCGAATGAGAAGAAATTTTAGAAGCAGAATTCTATAGTAATTTGAGAACAGAATGATGACAAGTGGCTTTAAAAGTGTGCCTACTTTACGTCTGGAAAGAAAACTCTTGTTTATTGTTACTGCCTTTCTATATTCTGCATAACTCTCATAGTAGCGCTGGTTGGGCTGAAGAAATGAGTCTTCTGGCCTTTAAAGGACGTGGAGCAGTCAGTCTAAATGGTGGAAGGCTGGAAGCCAACTTTGCTTACTAGATATCAGCAGGGGGTGCTGAGAGAGGGGACTGGGGGGATAATAATCAAAGCTGATGTTTTAAGCATCAAGCCAGTCCAGTGGGGTGGCGTGGGGCCATGCAGGCCTGCCACACAGAGTGGCTCTGTAGGAGGACACAGAGGTGTGAGGGAGCCTGCTGTGCTGGGGCATTCCAGGTATGGCCTCAATCGTGGTTGTCCCTGGGGGTGATGTTGGTGGACCTGAGGCTGGAGGAGGCACTGGGCCACACCATGAAGAACCCCACCAGCGGCCGGCCACAGGTTTTGAAGCAGGAGATTGACAAGACCAGATGGCATTTAGGGTCAGACACCCTCTCACCTCTGCTGGTTCCCTCCTTCCCAGTGTCCTCCCAATCTTCTTCAGGAATAGCAAGAAGCACTGTCAGGAACAGAGGGTCATATGGGGAAACGATGCTCCAGAGAAGGCCAGTGATGGCTCACCTGAGTCCCACAGCCTTGCTGAAGCCATAGGGCCCAAACCCACACTCACATCTTTTGATTGTGTCTTTTGGTTTTGATCCAAACCAAGGAAGGCAGAAAAAAAGAAAATGAAGGAGAAGAGTGGGGGAATATTTCTGACTAGGTAAGACTTGAGTGTGCAGACAAGTGGGGCCTGTTCTGGTGACGGGCAAGATATTTGACCCTCCTCCTTCCTTCTCTCCACACCCCACAGATTTTAACCCTGAAGATCTCTCCAGACTGTTTAGAATGAGAGGTGCTGGAGGATAACCCCCTGCCCAAAATGGCCTGAACCATGGCTGTGGAGAAGACAGCGTCCTGTTTCTTGCTGACTGGAGGGTGTCTCTGGTGAGGGCTGATCTTGCCTACGCCAGTCTGGGGTAGGGTTGGGGCAGGGGAGCTGGGTCTTCAGGATACCTCAAGGCCCACATCCGGGGAGGGAGAGAGAAGCTTTGTCCTGAAATCTCCTCCCCCCAATCAAAGACTTTTCTTCCTGATCACATTGATTTTTTTCTGCCTATCTTGAGAGATCACCAAATCCTAAACTGGCTGATCCCTTTTTTAAGAAAAATTGAGGCAAAATTTACCCACAGTGAATAGCACAGATATTAAATGTACATTTGATGAGTTTTGACCAATGTATAACAAAGTAACCAACCAAGATATAGACCACGTCCATGTGCGTTTGAAAGCTTTTGTATGGTGTGGGGTTGGGCCGCAGTGTTCTATAACTTTCAATCATGTCAGGTGGGTCAATCGTTTTGTTCAAATCTGCTATTTCCTTGCTGTTTTTCTTTGTAGTTGTTTTATCAGTTACTGAGGTGTGTTGATATCTTGAGCTATGGTGATAGATTTATCTATTTTTCTCTTTGATTCCATTTTTGCTTCATGTATTTTGAAGCTCTGTTTTTTACATACACATTTATGATATGTCTTCCCGGTGAATTGACCTTTTATTGTAAATTGTCCCTCTTTATTTCCGTTAATGCTCTTCATCTTTAGGTGTATGTCTATGGAATTAACATAACCACATGCTCACTGTTTGCACATATTTCTCCATCCTTTTACTTTCATATAATGGGTGTTGTTCAGTTATGCAGTCTGAACACCTCAGAATGTTAATTAGAACGCACTGTTTATTTACATTTAATGTAATTACTAATATGGTTGGTTGAAGTCCCATATTTTGCCTTTAAATCTCTGTTTATCCCATCTCTTTTGTTATCCTGATTTTCCTTGTCTGCTTTCTTTTTGGTTAATCAAATTTTTTTGTATTCTATTTTTCCACTCTATTGATCTTTTACCTGTAACTGTCTATATTATTTTTAATTGTTAACCTAAGGATCACAATATCCATTATTTATCATAGTTACTTAATATTGTGCCTCTTTGAGTAAACTGTAGAAACTTTCACACAGTTGGGTTCCCTTTACCTTCCCCTCAGCCTTCGTGTGCGTATCACCCCAAAATTTACTGACTTAAAATAGCAGTAAACATTTATCACAAAAAAACCCATTTAACAAAATTTGACATCTGTTCAGGATAAAAACTTCTAACAAGATGGATATAGAAGGAATGTACTTCAACATAATAAAGGCTGTTTATGAAAGCGCACAGCTAACATTGTACTGAATGGTGAAAGGTTGAAATCTTTTCCTTTAAGATCAGGAATAAGACAAGGGTGCCCACTCTCACCACTCCTATTCAACATGGCACTAGAAGCCCTAGCCAGAGCAATCAGGCAAGAAAAAGAAATGAAAGGCATCAGAATTGGAAAGGAAGAAGTAAAATTGTTTCTATTTGCAGATGACATGATTTTATGTATAGAAAATCCTAAAGACTCCACCAAAAAACCGTTTGATCTAATCAATGAATTTAGTAAAGTAGCAGGATACAAAATTAACATACAAAATTTAGTAGTGTTTCTATACACTAAGACCAAGTTATTTGAAAAAGAAATAAAGAAAAACAACCCCATTTTCAATAGCATCAAAAACAAAAAATACTTAGGAATAAACTTAACCAAGGAGGTGAAAGATCTGTACACTGAAAACTACAAGACCTTGATGAAAGAAATTAAAGAAGACACAAATAAATAGAAACATATCCCACATTCATGGATTGGAATAATTAATATTGTGAGAATGGCCATATTACTCAAAGCCATCTATAGATTCAATGAAATCCCTATCAAGATTCCAATGGCAATTTTTACAGAAGTAGAAAAAACAGTTCTAAAATTTATATGGATTCACAAAAGACTGAATAGTCAAAACAATCTTGAACAAGAAGAACAAAATAAGAGGCATCACACTTTCTGATCTCAAGCTATATTGCAAAGCTGTAGTAATCAAAATGTCATAGTACTGGCATAAAAACATACACATAGACCAATGAAGTGGTATCAAGAGCCCAGAAATAAACCCATGCATATATGGTCAACTAATATTTGATAAGGGAGCCAAAAATATTTAATAGAGGAAAGATGGGCTGGGAAAATATGATCTTCACATGTAAAAGAATGAAACTGGACCCCTATCTTACACCACTCACAAAAATTTACTAAAATGGATTAAAGACTTAAATGTAAGACTGGAAACCATTAAGGCTCCTAGAAGAAAACATAAGAAAAAAGCTCCTTGACATGGATCTTGGCAATGATTTTTTTGACATCTAAAGCATTACCAAAAAAAATAAAAAATAAACAAGCAGGACTGGCTCAAGCTTCTGCAAAAGACAAAATCAACCAAATAGAGAAACACCCCATGGAATGGGAGAAAATGTTTGCAAACCATATATCTGATAAGGGCTTAACAATGTCCGAAATATATAAAGCAGCATACAACTCAATAGCAAAAACAAATAATCCAATTTAAAAATGGGCAAAGGACCGGAACAGACATTTTTCCAAAGAAGGTATACGAATGGCCAACAGGTCCATGAAAATGTGCCCAACACCTCTAATAATTAGGGAAATGCAAATTAAAACCACAATGAGATATCACTCCACACCTGGCAGAATGACTATCATCAAAAAGACAAGAAATAACAAATGCTGGAGAGGATGTGGAGAAAGGGGAACCCTTGTGCACTGTTGGGAATGGAAACTGGTGTAGCCACTATGGAAAACAGCATGGAGATTCCTCAAAAAATTAAAAATAGAACTACCGTATGACCCGGCAATTCCATTTCTGGGAACATATCTGAAAGAAATGAAAACACTATGTTGAAGAGATAGCTGTACCCCCACGTTCATAGCAGCATTATTTACAATAGCCAAGACATGCAAACACCTTAAGTGTCCACTGACGAATGGATAAAGAAATTGTAGTGTATATACATATATACAAAGGGATACTATTAAATCATAAAAAAGAAGGAAATCCTGCCACTTGCGACAACATGGATGGACCTATGGATTTATGTAGATAAGTCAGACAAAGACAAATTCTATATGATCTCGCTTATATGTGTAATCTAAAAAACACCCCAACCAAACAAACCCCAAACTCATAGAAAAAGAGACCAGATTTTGGTTATCACAGGTGGGGGGTGGGGAGAGGCAGGACTGGAGGAAGGTGGTCAAAAGGTACGAACTTCCAGTTACGAGAGAAATAGGTACTAGGCACGTATTGTACAACGTGATGACTATATTTAGCCTTGCTGTGTGGTAGAGTTGAAAGTGGTTAAGAGAGTAAATCCTAAGAGATTTCATTACAGGGAAAAAACATTTCTTTTCTTTTTCTTTCTTTTTTTTGTATCTGTATAAGACAATGGATGTTAACTAAACTTAGTGTGGTTATCATTGCACAGTACATGTAAATCAAATCATTATGCTGTACACTTTAAACTTATACAGTTTTGTATCTCTATAAAAATGGAAAAGCGGTGCCGGCCCCCTGGCTGAGTGGTTACGTTTGCACCCTCTGCTTCACAGCCCAGGGTTTTGCCAGTTCGAATCCTGGGCGTGGACATGGCACTGCTCGTCAAGCCATGCTGAGGCGGCGTCCCACATACCACAACTAGAAGGACCCAAAACTAAAATACACGACTGTGTACCAGGGGGCTTTGGGAGAAAAAGGAAAAATAAAATAAAAATAAAAAGAAAGGAAAAATATGATTAAAGTATCCTAAGTATTTGCGGTTACCTTTTCAAGTAAACAAACAAAAAACAAAAAAATTATTATCCTCATCATTCCTGCAGATCAGGATTTTGAGAGTGGTCTCAGTGGGTAGTTCTGCCTTGGGGGTTGCAATGACGATATTGACTGGGGCTGAGGGATCAGAATGTATGATGGCTTAGTCACATGGCAGGCAAGTTGGTGCTGGTTCTTTGTGTGAGGGCTCAGTCTTTCCTCCCTGGACCTCTCTACAGGCTGCTGCCTGAGTGTCTTTACCAGATGGCTTCACAGAGCAAGTGATGAGAGAGAGAGAGAGTAAGGCAGGTAGGAGCTAACTTTTTTGTTACCTCCTTTGGAACTCACATAGCATCACCTCTGCTGTGTTTCATTCCTTAGAAACAAATGACTAAGGAGAGGGGCGCTAGTCTGGAAAAGGAAGTGTCAAATACTTTCGCAACATATTTTAAAACAGCACTGTTCTATTGTCAAATTATTTTACTTCTACATGTGTCCTAAACCCCGTAATAAAATGTTTTTTATTTGAAAGTCAGTTTGCCTTTATAGAAAATGACTGTCCTCTGTGTTTTCCCACACATTTAGCGTTTCCAGTGCTCTCCATTTCTTCCTGGAGACACGTCTCCTTCTGACACTATCTCCTGCAGTCTGCAGAGCTCCCTCAGCATATTTTGTTGTACAGTCTGCTTGTGACAAATTTTCTGAGCTTTCCCTCCTCTTACAACCTCACTTTTGAAGGATATTTTCTTTGGGTATAGGAACATTTATACATTGCTTCCCCGTTGTTCACAGGGGATATGTTCCAAGACCCCTAGTGGATGCCTGAAACCAGGGATAGTACCAAACCCTATATGTACTATATTTTTCCCTATATATAAATTCTTATGATAAAGTTTAATTTATAAATCAGGCAAAGTAAGAGATTAACAACAGTAACTAAGTATAGAACAATTATAACAATATACTGTAATGAAAGTTACCCTAGATCTTCGCAACCTCAGCATACAATATTTTTCTTTCCTTACTAAGTCAAGAACTTTCCTTTTCACTTAAAGGAAGTGCTTTACAGCTTCTCTTTGGCATATCCGAATTGCCAGCATCACTACTTTTGTGCTTTGGGGCCACTATTAAGTAATAAGTAATAAGGATTACTTCAACACAAGCACTGTGATACCACGATAGTCGTCTGACAACCCAGATGGCTACTAAATG